CGCCCGCCCGCCCGCCTGCCTGCCCGCTCACGTGATAACATAATACGTCCCCGTCTTCGACAGGCGTATAAAAACCATTCAATAGCTGGTTGCTGTAGTAAATAACTACTGATCATTCTTTTTAACTTTCTATAAATATTCTATAAAGACTTTAAGATTAATAGATCTGTGATTATCACTTCTAAACGTTTACATTAGATAACAAGAGACCATTATTTTTTTTGACAAATCTTCTTTGAATATTCTTAAAATATATTCACCTTCCCATGCCTATTAAAAAGAGTTCAAATTGGGCAGATTTATATTTATATTTAGAAACCACAAAATAATGATTTGTGAGAGAGTTATCTCTCCTTTCACATTTGCCAACTGTAGGATTTGGGAGAGTTGTCTTCACTCTCACATTTGCCTGCGGAACAACCGGTTAATCTTTTTTTTTAATGCAACTTTTTTCAAGTATAAATCCCAGCGGACCTTCAAAATGTTTATGCCAGCAGCCTTGCAATACTCTAGATCTGTCAAGGCTCTGCTGAAAGCAACATCAGAGCACTAGGTCCGACCTTATTTCATGAAAGAACAACTTTTGTCCAGCCATTTGGATGGTGATAAATGAAGTTGGCCCTGACCATCCGTGTACCATCAGTTCACTGGATTATTAAAGTTTCTATGTAACCAGCCATATGGCCTATCAGCCCTGCCTACTGTTTATAGTTGATGGTTGTACGTGTACGCACCCTGTTTTTTTGTTTAGCTTCACGTTGTATTTCCACTAGCGTTTCCTCCAGTTCCTCCATCTGATCTTTGAGAAGCTCTGCCCTGTACACCAGTGACTGTTTCTCGTTGTCAAGGAGGGCGTTAGTCATCATAGCCTTTTTGTATTTTTCATCCATCTCACGTAATTTACCCTGAAATCATCACAGAATATAGAAAACATCTTCCTTTACTTGTAAGTATGGAATTGTTGTGGAATATTGAAATCATCTTGAAACACTGTCTTCCACTTATCCTTCATGTTTTAATCTTACTTGAAATCTTAATTCATACCAGAAATTAAATCTCTTTTATTTCTCTGAATTTCAAGAAAGTGTGGAAAGATTCAATTTAATATTTTTTGTATGCAAAACTGAAACCAAATAAAAATATTTGACGTATGATAGCTCAGAGCAATCTGTTCCTTCATTAAGACACAGAACAACAGAGAACAGTTATATCACATCGGAACAAAACAGAAATATAATAGGTATTAAAAAACAATTATCTCGTCAGCTAGCTTTAGCTGAAGGCAGAATTTATGCTAACCACTGTCATCACGATGCATGATATCGATATATTTCTTAACATAAGATACTGTTAGAAAGCATCCCTCCTATCTCAAATCATGTTCCATCTATGACATCTGATCTAGAATCTCACTTAACATTTACAATACCATTGTAATACCACCATATGTTGAAACCAGTTCTTTAACTTTAAACTTACTTTCAAAACAGAAAATGTACACAATTAGAATCTCATTATTAGCCAAGGAACTTTTACCCTGACCCCCATAGAGGAACATGCATTGTTCAAGATCTCCAATCCTTTTACGTGTTGAATAACTTGCCGGAAAATGTAGTTTCTGCTAATTAATTTTTTATTTCATTTCTTAATATATATTTTTTTATTTCATTTTTTATTTTATAACTTCAGAGCTAAATTATGAACTGTGGCATCATAGCAATCATTTTTTTAATTTATAACTCAATTAGTGTTTTTAGTCTGGTGTAGAGAATATGAAATCATATACCAGAAATGTATTACTAAATGTTCATCATGAAACTTAAATTGCATTACAGCCTATCTCTAACCCTTTCACCCCTATGTAACTGTAGTAGACTCTACCATATATTGATATGGATGAGTCCATTATGCTCTACAGTGGTGGAAGGGTTAAATGACAGTTCATGAAACATGTACATTTTGTACCTTTACTCATGTACCCACATGAGTGTGTAAAATGTTTGAAATGTGAGTAGTTAACCCCTGTGCATGCTTCTGTTACAATAGCAGGTGAATACCTTTAACTCCCTAGCAATATCCTTCATCTCCCTGGGTCCCTCCATGTCATCAATCGTGGATGTAGAATGGCTAGAATCATCACTTCCTCGCCGACTAGACAAGATATCTCGATTCTGAAACACAAGTGCTTTCTATATTACAATTTAAGTCTTTCTCCCATAACTGTCGATGTAAGATGTAGTTGAAAATTGAACTCTACACATACAGCAAAGGCATCCACATTTATTTAAAACAACTTAATCAATTATTTCCCCAGTCCTGCATAGAAACTGTGCTACACAAAATTGACCTACAGAACTATATTAAGGTTATGATATACATCTGATATTAATACTGTTGATCCCATACAAAAAAAAAATGCACATGCATACAATTTTAATGCATTTTCTTTCCTTTGCAAAAACTATTTAAAGTTTCAGCAAATTTGATTTTTACGAGTTACAAATTTCTCTGCAGTTCTGAACATTTTTAGCATGCAAGCTTATTGTATTTGACATTTTGACACTTACCTGTATGTATTGTATCAAAAAAGATGATTTTTTTTAGTGTGGGAAAAAATTTCCTTCATTTTACAACACTTCCTTTAGTTTAAAATCTAGCACAGAAAAATTCAGCAAAACAGAATCATTGCAACATGATTTTTGCTGAGTTTTTATCATCAACAAAATCTCTCCTCCCAGTGCTCCATATATTACAAAAATATGTTTGTAATGTCTCAGATTACATTTACTAGTACTCTATGAATTACGAGGTTTTATCAGGGAACTAAGTTTGAAAATTAAGGTATACTGACTTTGATGATTACTAATTTGATTGAAATGTTTCAATGTAAGTGGGGTAATGGCACGGTGGGTCGTCTCACAGGTGACTGAAGGTGAAGTGATGGCACCTGTGAGGTTGAGGTACCACATGCGGTGGTCAAGTGGTCCCAGCATGCAGTCACCTTTGATCTGACAAGCAGCAGTTATCACTTTATCTCTAGATCCATGGACAAATTTTTCTGAGCACTGTTAGCTTGATATTCATTTTTAATTTCAAAGGAAAGATATTATTTGCACAGGATATACACAAATTCGTTTTAACTCATTCATCCCTACATATCTAAACTGGACATGCCCAGTCTTTGATTTGGTAAGGTGACTCTAGAGTTGAATGGGTTAAAAGGCTACAGAATGATAACCTGACAATGCAAAAAATATATGAATACAAATTTGATTATATTTTTGTTAATTACCTTGTCGCCATCCTCTTCTTGTCTTCTTTGTCGTTCTTCTTCCTGTTGATGATAAATGAAATGATTACATGAAGTACTTACAGGAAGAAAAAAAATAATGTACAGTGTTCATACCAAGAACTTGTTTGCATATATACAAATGTACCACATTATTGTGATTACATGATTATGAACATAGTTGATGTGTAATATTATGTAAATCAATTTATGAAACATTTTGTTCTGATCAGTGAATTGATTATGAGTAACCATATAGAAATACAGTCAAACTCACAGGGATGAGCATCCTACACATGCATCACTCGCATCAATTAATCCCAACTTGACACTAACTACAATCACTTATGTCCGTCAAACTGACTTAATAATGGATCAAGTATCCGGCATTTTATTGGGATCAACAAAGTAATTCACACTTCAAATTGGGGCTATAATAATATATCTACTTACATCACAATCATTTGTATTGTGATACACTGACTTTGTAGATAATGAAACGACACAGAGTAGGAAAGATCTAGAGTAGACCATAAATATAGCCGATACTTAATAGCCTGATTCTAATTATATCTACAATTTGTAAATCTTTATCATTTTACGAACTATTGAACCATGAATTGTAATACTACTCTTAACAGTAATAAGAGGAACAGAGGGCCTGTGTTGCTCTGCAGATGTATCATTTTTCAATGTTGACAAGGAGATACATTTCAATTGCAGAATAGTAAAGTTTCATCATAAAAGTACTGTGGAATCACTACTTTTCATGGGTTTTTAATTTTGTGGTTAATCTTCATCCACAAATTCAAAGGTCCACAAACCTAAGTAATTACAAGTTTGATATAAAGCATTTCTCTGTTTGAATCATTACTGTCCTCCGCAAATGCATGTACCCACAAAATGGAGTTTTGTCATCAGGAAACCATGAAATTTGGGCCCCACAAAAATTGCTTATTGCTTAGTTTATAGAATTATCAAGGGAATTTATAAGTTCTTCAATGTGGTACAAAAGTACATTGCATTGCAGCACAGAAACCTGACTGGCGTTGATAATGAAATTTTACCACATATCTGTAATTGTTTGTTAAAAACCAATCTTGAACAAACAGTTTATACATGTATAACTGCATTAAATATGTTTAAGTTCACTCTACATGTGTTTTTAATCCAATAAAAACCTAAAATGTAAGACTGATTATAAATATATGCAGCTTTTTTTTAATTCAAGTTTCAAGAATGACATTAATTTGACACCATGTAAAATATTTATTTAATTACTAGTTGATATAGAAAGGCATGCAAGTAATATGCAAATATAAATATATATACCAAGTAAATATACTAACTCCACAATTTTGTTCAGGGTGTCCAATTAATTTCTCATGAAAACATTACAGAAGACTGCTATAACTATATTGCATACCTCCTTCTGTTGTCGTTCTATCTCTTTGATCCTGATGTCTCTGGCCTCCGCCCGAGCAGCTCGTTTAGCGGCAAGTCGAGATTCAGCCTGGAATCAAAGAAAGCATCATTGAATAAAATGGATTAAAATATAAAGTTCAATTATTAGGTTTTTCCATTTCCCTTTCAAAAGGCTTATCCTGAGGATTATTATTGGAGATATTTATTTTGATTCCCCGATTTCAAAATGTCATAGCTCCATAATACTAATGCACATCTCTTTGGGATGTGCACGTAGTTTTGGTATTTGGCCTTTCACACAGGCAGCCGGGGTTCGATGTATACATGGATATTCAGAGAAAGTGATTTTCTCCTGCCCACACAGATCCAACAACCCAGGTGGAGTATAAATTGGTCTGGGGTGGATGGTGCGGTATATGTGGTGAAGCATTCAAGTGAGGTGGCACTATAAATGATGCTGTTGGAAACACGGTCCTTATACGCTACTACAAACAGAACACATTACATCTCCAGCACACACGCAGGCTATACCCCAGCACACAATATATATTTGCAACATCATACAAATAAACTCTTGCTTGTGGAACTCTACATCCCCAGACATTGCCATCTCGTTTGTTATGTTGTTTGTATTTTGAAAAAATAAAAAATGAAATAAAAACCAGTATAAGTACATGTATTCATGTGTACAGGCCCCTGTTTCATGAACATTCCTTAATCAACTTATCAAAATATTTTTTTCATTCCAGTGCTTTCCCAATATATATATATAAAGAACTTTTAAGTACAGTTTATTTTCAATGTTGTTATACCTACATAATGTAAGCTAAGATTTTTTCTCAATTATCACGCATGTACATTGATTGAAAATTTTCATTTTGGCTTGTACTTTTGATTTTACGGTAATAAAGTGTGGAAGATTTGGCAAGACCTACAAGTATATTTCCATATATTTGATGACATATCTTCTAGACACCAGTTTCCGCGCGTTATGTATTTCCGCGCAGCCATTTTATCAAGCTATATCCCGTAACTACGTGACCTGCTGGACAAAACACAAGGATATTTTAGACGTTTGGCCATCGTCTGTAAACTGACAAAAAAAATACCGGAAGTTCGTCCGGAAAACATAAGATTTAATCACTGATTAATAAACACGCATAAATATGCAGTTTTGCTAAATGCTCTTTTTATCTTGCTCAAAATGAACCCGTACCTGAAAAAACGTTAATATATATTTCATTCATGAACCAGTCTTTTTTGTAGTCTGACAAACGTACGAAAATGTCGTATGCAAATGAGGCCACATCTCCTCGTTAATTTTTTCCTCTTCCGAAGAGCCAAGGAGACATTCTTATATCGATAAACAGTGTTTTCAATGAAACGTAAAACTTGTAATGCAATGAACCTCCAATTTTCACCAATTTTAAACAGAACAAAATAAGAAATAACTTACCATCAACCAAAACCGATATAAAACTGCAGAAAAAACCCCATAATAACAGATTCTATATCATAACTAAATAAATATAATAAATATTCTAAAAAAAAATACATGAATTCGTTCAATTTGACATCTTGAAAAATAAATGAAAAAGGTGAAATTTAAAAAAAAGTTGTTTTGATAATCAATTTGACGATCAAAGATATATTTTTATTCCAAACGAAGCTTTTGTTCTTGCAGGTCACTGTAGAGAATTTCTTTTTAGTGTATTCAAGTTATCTTTCTTTGAACTCTAAATCAAAATAGACACACAGAAACATATGACGGCTTCTTCCGACGGGAGAAATTTGCTAAAAATTGTTTGTTCTGGGTTTTTTTTAAAATACAGTTTTATATTGCTAGTTTTTTGTTTCCTTTAGTAGATTGTATACATGTTTATGACAGTCTTCCGTAATTTCAACAGTGTTCTGCCGATATGAGCAGGAAATCGCGAATGCTTCTTAAGTGCGCGGAAACCGGTAACCCGAGGATACCTAGATGTATTTACAATACATGATATATTATCTTATACAATTTAAAAAAAAAACATACAAAATTATGTACATGCATGTACAAGTGCATTTAATGTCACATCACCTTGTTATGTATATACTTTGCAGCCTGGTTTGTTGATTTACACAGATTAGACTCTACATTAACAACTATGCAAGGTACATACATAAAATAAAAATAACTAGAGGCCCAGAGGGCCTGTATCGCTCACATGTTTCTTTTGTTACATGAAACTGACATATAGGTAACTTCAGACCAAATTTGGTAACTAGAACACAAGCCATTTTAACATCTCTTAAACGCTTCTCAAGGTGTTGTTGTTTGAAATTTGAAAAAGTAATTTTAAAGCTTTTAACCCACGTTGACATTCGACTCCGGCTAGCACTTTAAGTTGACATTTGACCTCATTAATGTAATTAAGAAAAAGATTTGCACTGCTGGTCTACATAACATACCTGTGTAACATGACTCTAGACCAAATGCTTCTAAGGATATCGTCGTTTGAAGTGTTTTTCTTTTACATTTTTGACTCCTGTGACCTTGAGGGTCAAGGTCAATTTAAAGAGGAAACTTTATAGCACTCTATCCCTGGTACCTTCTAGCCAAATATCATGAACCTGGACCTTATGGAACCCGAGAAGAAGATTGTTAAAGTTTTTAACCCATGTTGACTTTTCACCCTCAACTAGCACTTAAAGTTGACCTTAAACCTCATTACTGTGAATAAGAAAAAGATTCACACTGCTGGTCTACATAACATACTCAAATATCATGACTCTAGTCCAAATGGTTCTTAGGATATTGTTGTTTGAATTTTTGACCCATGTGACCTTGAAAATAGGTCAAGGTCATTTTAATGAGGAAACTTTATAGCACTCCATCCCAGGTATCTGCTGGCCAAACATCATGACCCTAGGTCCTCCAGTTCTACAGATGAAGTCGTTTGAAGGAAAAAGTTGACGGAAGGAAGACGAAAGATGGACGCCGCAGTACGGCATATTAGCTTACCTGGCCTGAAGGCTCACATGGCCCTTCGGGCCAGGTGAGCTAAAAACCTACAAAAGTACTAAGATCTATCTTCAGATATTTATATATATAGCTACTACTTGATAATTAAGTGTCTGGAGCTGGAGGCTAAAAAGTATGATGTGTTCAGGATGTACAAATAGCTGTTGTCAGAAGTCTTAATAAATCATGTTTTCAGTGCTATTATGTAGTGGTGGAACATGTCTTTGTCTGCAATTAGTTCCGGACCTGTATGATTACTGCGAAAGCTTGGAAGTGATAACTTATACAGGAATTGTTAGTTTTTTACTAGCCAGGATCCGAGTAGCTATATTGTGTGTTTGTTTTAACATCTAGGATCTTTCTCAAGCACATTCACAACTTAGACAGTATGTACATTTGTATATATACATGTAGATTTTTTTGCCTCATCATTGTATAATGAAAATAAAAGATAGGCTAGTACATTTTTCAAAATTTCACATCAGACTAGTGCTTTAATACGAAATTTCAAACATTATTGTTTTATATAACGTTCATGACAATTATATATAGTCATTTCCAGCCCTCAGACAGGGTACTGCTAAACTTAACACTTGAATGAAGTTTACATGTATGCATTGGAAAATCAATTTGTCAGAGTTCCCTAAAAATAGTAACAGTGTTGACCTTGACTGACTACTGAAATCTAAGTTACCTAGATACTTGGACTCGCAACATACTGCGATATCAAACATTTTATAAAGTTTTGAGTATTCACTGTGAGATGAAGGCATTTGTAGGGGTGTGCATATATATAACACCTAAGATTTTTTAATAGCATCCTCTTAGTGACTTTGACCTTTACTGAAGTTACCTGAAATGCCTCTTCTGATATGGAACTGCAGGCATTCAAGATATCGTATAACAAACATATATACCTGCATGTTAGCCTTAGAAAATCATGTTGTTTCAACAATTTTAAGGAATTTTTTAAATTTTCAATTCAGACACAAAATTAAGCTTTGTATATACTGGTATTTAATTCATGATGACAGTCCTTTCTTATTATTCATGGATGAGTTAATATAACATGGACCTATAGCTTATGTCTATAGGACTCGAAAACACATATTTTGTTGGGAGGCAATAAAAACAGGTTTTATAGACTGTACATGGGTGAAGCATTAAGATGAATATACCGGGTACCTGCTGTTCATGACCGATTGCTAGATTTCCTGTCACTGTGGGTAACATACTGTCTGTATATTTATATTGATATCAAGCTAACAGCTATATAGATAATGCACACAGCCAAAATACATATAGACATACCAATATAGATATCAGGTCCAATTCCGTTGATATTAGTGGTATCTGCATTCAAATTTTATCATCCTTTAAATTTACATACAACACTCAATGTGTGTAGTTTAATCACATGGTTCAAGTTCAGTTCTCGGTACGTGAATACTCGACTAATGTAACTACAGTGTGTGCTCAATATGTTTTCGCCGACAGGTTACCTACGTGTGATTAAATCTTACACCACGTGAAATTGAAGAAGATGCTTCAACATAAACCACCTATTGACATATATATATAGCTGTTTTCATTTACAAGGCATGTGATCTTCTCTCTTATCTTGATAGAATCTTTCAACTTCCTGTTAGACTGGAAAAAAGATTACAAGAACATTTATATCAATGATATACATAGATGGGGCAAAGAAGTTATTCCAACAGTGTGGACAAGTTAAGGTTGTCAAATTTTCGGAGCGATCCGCTCCTTTATCAAGACACTGCAGTGAAACAGAACAGTTACATGTACATCATATTACAAGAAGATAGAACTGATATACTATAATTGAAAATATAGCTATTGTATGAAACCAATAGTCCCCTCGGCTAAAGACAGCCAAATGTATATATATATATAGAAGATGTTATGATCAAATCAAGCCTACTCCGAAAAGTGTATATATATATATCATGTCATAAAAACACAACACAAAGATCATGGAACTAATTATACTCCTCTTAATTACAATGTTTTTTTGCAACCCTAATTGAACATGTGTTTGCTTTATTAGTGATTTTAATTTGTGC